GGTCCAACTTTACAAGAATATGACCTGGACAGTTGCCCAAACCCTGCCCTCAGAGGGCCCCACATTTGGTTTATGCTCTACTGTCACAATCTTGAAATTCTTGGGTCCAGCATTTTCATATTATACTAAGCTTCATAAATGATGTAGCCAGTCCTAGAGATGACCAAGGAAAGTAGGCAAAATATACAGATAATTATAGACTGAAAAAAGTGTCTCAATCACTCAAGTGGAATAGGTGAAGGCTTCAGCTGGAAGAGGACATTTGCATAAGTCTTGAAGGCAGAAAATAGTGTAAGAATGAATATGCAAACAGAGGAAATGGGCAAAAATATGAAAACATAGTCTACTCAAGGACTGGCAAGCAGCTTAATATGATGAACACTGTAAGAATAGGAAACATGAGCAAGAGCAAGTTTGAGAAGAGTAAAGGATGAATTAAATGAGAAAGAAAAGAAAACATGAAGACAGGCAGACCAGTTCAGAGGTCCTGCGATGGTCTCCTCAGGCCCAGGATGCCTCAGGTGTATGGGCCATGGGATGGGCTTTCTCACAGTCTATCACTTGGTCTTTACCAAGATAAGCACAGAATCTAAGAATAAGCATTTAGATACTGGACTTTTACAATGGGGGCTTCAAAAACTTGGTGGAAATTTTCCATGATTATTTCATTTCATTTTCCACAAACCTTTTGAACTTCTCTCATACTAATGACAGTAATTTCATATCAGGTTGAACCTAATAAAAAAAATTTAAGGTATGTATTTTGTACATCTTTGCATTACATTTTTCTAGTAATTTATTTGTGCTGCATTTTGTAAATAACAGATTGGAATTTTAAAAGGTAAAAATTTTTAAAGCAGCAGCAGCAAAAATTGATTCTCCACCACAGGCAGATTGAAAGGCACTGCTCTAGAAGAGATACAACTGGCTGGCCTTGGCAGTTGTGATATTGGAGATGGGAGGGCAAAGATACTGATCAAATTAAACTGACCTGGCTTGGGAACCAAATGAATGCAGGGGCTGTGGGAGAGCCCAGCACAATGTGTATTCATGTAATCAACTGAAGCCAGCTACAATAAAAGGTGAGTTTAGCCACAATAGTTCTCAAAATGGCAGCATATTTTAATCATTTGAAAACTGTTAAAAGTTACCAACACCTAAGGCTTACCCCCTGACTGATCAAGCGCTTCTAGGAGAAGAACATAATACAAGTTATCTCCCACTTTTCAAAAGTTTACTTCAGGCTACTTCGCTGTGACAAAGACCTACATTAGTACCTGTTTTCACTAACTGAAAGAAATATGAAGAGGTGTTGCACTTTTACAAAAAAAAAAAAGGCGAGAAATGAAAACAAGCCCAAGTGGCACTGCCAAGCTCCTGCCCTGGGAACTACACTCCGTTTCTCAGCATTAAGTCATTACAGCTTTGGACTGTGTCTGTGAACCCTCTCCGAGGGGGCTACAGAAAGTTCATGGTAAAAAGAAATAAAAGATAATGGGATTCTTGCATGAACTTTTTGAAGTCCCCTCATGTTAGTGTTATTTTAGGTTTATGTATTATTTGGATTGACTTGGTAAGTTATTTTTTGGCATCTGGGAATGATCAAATATTTTCCCTATGAACTGAAAGGTCGGTGATTCAAGCTCAACAGCTGCTCCTCGGAAACCCTATACAGGGTCACTATGGGTCGGAAGCGACTCGACGGCACTTAACAACAACAACAAATTAGTGGTAATTAAATCTTCCCTCTATGCCATTTCAGCTTACTAAAGGTTTCATAGAACAGTCTACTTTAGGAGAACTGGGTAACCTATATATTGGTATTTTTTAAAGCTTTCAAATATATTCTAAATGCAGGGATGAGATCATTGGCCTAGTAAGGGTTTATTTTGTTTGTCAAAGACATTATCAGTTTCGTTTTTGATGCTCAAGTTATATCCAAACTTACATTAAAGATTATTTACACTATTTTAAATACTAGTTATGCAATCTAAACAAGATAAATGAAGGGCTACAAAAATTCTCCTTCTAGTAATCTCTCCCTGACAATAATTTGAAGCTTAAAAATTTATTGCAGATATGATTATCCAGGCATTATCTTTAATAGTAAAAATGTTTAATCATAGGGGTTTGGTTAATTATAGTACATCCATTACATAAAACACTAAGAAAGAAGAGTGATAAGAATCGAAGAGAATTGGAATCAATTAGACTAATGGAACATGTGAACATCAATCTCCATGACTCTGAGACCAGAATTAGACAGTGCCTGGCTACCACAACCAACTACCCTAACAGGGATTACATTAGAGGGACCCAGATAGAGTAGGAGGAAAATATGGAACAGAACTCAAAATTATTTATTAAAAAAAAAAAAAGAAGAAGAAGAGCCACACTTGCAAATAATACCCACTTGACCAGGCTTCAACGGCTGGAGGATCAGAGCTCAAACAGAAGAAGAAAGAAGAGGGTAAAAAGAATACTCTGATACAATTTGATGAACTTGACACACACCTATGGAAGCAATAGCTCAAAAGAGTGAACAAATCTTCACAGCGAGGTTCATTCCCACCCCCTCCACACACAGAGAGGACAGGGATGGACAACTTGGACATTGGCTACAGAGAATGGGGGTGCTACAGAGGCAAGAAGTGACTGGCTTACAAGCTTTCAAGAGGGAACCTAGATTCAGAAGGCATGGAGCAAGGTAGAATCTCCACTGAGTAGTATCCATTCTGCCTAGTTAGGGCTGATGAAAGGAGATGTAGATAGGTCCCTTGCAATACGATAGTGAATAATTGTTATCAGGACTGATTGTAAGGGCTG